TATAGTTTATTTTTAAAAACTATATATTTTCTGTTTTATAGCAAAATTAAATTTTCGATACTTAAATTTTTTAAAAATTAATTATAAAATAACTAATAACAATAGAGGTGGAGCAATTTCGGATTCTGCTGGAGCATTTAAGGAGCAATTAATTGGTATACAATTTAATTTAAAAAAATAATGTTCTACGCTAACTTCCTTCTGGTTATTTTTTTAAAAATTAATTATAAATTAATTAATAACAATAGAGGTGGAGCAATTTCGGATTCTGCTGGAGCAATTAAGGAGCAATTAATTGGTATACAATTTAATTTAAAAAAATAATGTTCTACGCTAACTTCCTTCTGGTTATTTTTTTAAAAATTAATTATAAATTAATTAATAACAATAGAGGTGGAGCAATTTCGGATTCTGCTGGAGCATTTAAGGAGCAATTAATTGGTATACAATTTAATTTAAAAAAATAATGTTCTACGCTAACTTCCTTCTGGTTATTTTTTTAAAAATTAATTATAACTTAACTAATAGCAATAGAGGTATAGCAATTTCGGATTCAGCTGGAGCATTTAAAGATCAAATAATTGGCATACAGTTTATTTTTAAAAACTATATATTTTCTGTTTTATAGCAAAATTAAATTTTCGATACTTAAATTTTTTAAAAATTATTTATAAATTAACTAATAGCAATAGAGGTGGAGCAAATTCGGATTCTGCTGGAGCATTTAAGGAGCAAATAATTGGCATACAGTTTAATTTTAAAACGTAGATATTTTATGTTTTATAGCAAAATTGAATTGGTGATAGTTAAATTTTTTTTAAATTAATTATAAATTAACTAATTACAATAGAGGTGGAGCAATTTCGGATTCTGCTGGAGCATTTAAGGAGCAATTAATTGGCACACAGTTTAATTTAAAAATAGTAGATATTTTATACTTTATAGCAAAATTAAATTTTTGATACTTAATTTTTTTTAAAATTAATTATAAAATAACTAATAACAATAGAGGTGGAGCAATTTCGGATTCTTCTGGAGCATTTATGGAGCAATTAATTGCCACACAGTTTAGTTAAAAAAAAGAATGTTCTACGCTAACTTCCATCTGGTTAAAATACAAGTGCTTGACGTCTTTTCCATCTGTAATAGTGGTGATGGTAAAGCACAATTTCGGTATTCGTTGTCGCTCATATGAGGTGACTGAAGCCAGAAAAATGTATTCCTACAGATGGCGGTATAACCATCGCGTTTACGTTGCTTGTTGCTCAGACCCAAACCGGCAACGTAGAGCAGCATCAAAGTTGAGGTCTGGTATTACAATCGTCAATCTGTGCCACCCCAGCGTGACGATAAGGCAAATCCTACCTGCAACAGGACTGGCTAATGTCCAACAGTAGACTTCTTCGGAGTGCTGGAAAGTTGTAGTGTATATCGCTCATCCAACAGAACAACGACTTAATTACGTTTTCGATATTTTTCAAGAGAAGACTTTCAAAGTTTGGAATTGAAAATATAAATGTAGTTTTAATAATTTTGATTAAATCTTTAAATATTAATGTATGTTAGTTTATTACCAACAATTATCTATACATATAATAAAACTGTAAATAGCAGATGTCTGTACATTTAATATTTTTGTAATAAAAGTGATTGAGGGGTACCTAAAATAAGTAATTAAATACATTTCTACCATTTTTAGAATTTTCTGTCTGTCTGTCTGTCTGTCTGTCTGTTTGTTTGTTAACGTATCACGTATAAAGTACTAATTTATATCATAAGAATTGTTAAGGAAATTATAAAGTGTATCTTCGGGTTACATTTAGTCTTTATTTCATTAAAATCAGTTCATTCCATCAAAAGTTATGGTAAATATTCTGAAGTATGGGTAGGGAAGTATAGGTACGAATTTGCTCAACGGTGGCTTTGTTTGAGTCATCAAGTGCATTTTAAACTAATATCACATCATAAATCATAGTTAAATTATGTAAAATAATGATATAATTATGTATATCTAAAACGCAGTAAACAAAAGTAATAAAGAACGTATTAAATATATTATACAAAAATATATTAACGTTATTAACTAAATCTGAAGCACAATAGTTAACCCATTTCTTCGATAGATGGTGGTGTTGTGAAAATGCAATGCAATTGCAAATGTGTTTTTTTCCTGTAGATAGAGTTTTCATATTTACTGCTAATCTTTATTATATTACTCGCTGCCCTACTGCGTGTTGACAAACTCAATTTATTCTTTACCGCCGAGTACTCTATGTGGTAAATCAAATTTTAAAAGAGCTATTAACAATTGCATTGGTTTTGGCGAGAGTCAAACTTTATTTTTTGCTTACTGTGCAGGCACTGATTTATAAGTTCTCTTACGTTTTATATAATGTATCAATCGCGTCAATTAATCTCTTTTATTTTTAGAATTGATGATGTTAGCAGCGCCATCTCTCTTTAAATATATACATATAATAAAAATGATGATAACATGTTGTGTCTCTTTCTGTACATTGTATATATATTTTCGTGGCTAAAATCATTATGATGAACTGAAAATAATTAAATAAGAACATTTTATAATTTTTAGAATTGCCTGTCTGTCTATTTGTCTGTTATTATATGAACGCATCACGTCTAAAGTAAACATCTTTTATTTTCAAAGAAATCGTTAAGAATATCATAAAGCGTATCTTCGAGTTACATTTTAATCTTTGTTTTATTAAAATTGGTTAATTCTATCGAAAGTAATGATTATTATTTTGAAATGTAGGTTCGAATTTGTTCAATGGCGCCATAAAATCTCAGAAATAGTAATAAAAAGATTTCTGTGTAAAAAAAACGTTCCATAATAATTAATATATAAACACAAAAAAGATAGGATGTTTTCTCACACAAAGGACGTAATAGATGGAGTTGTACAAATTACAAACTTTTCTGAATTGCTGTATTGAGATTTTTCGCCGATGTATCGTATCGTAGATGACGCCTTGACACATATGAGTATTGGTATTGTATAGTTTGTAATATGTAGTATATTGTAATTTGTATTGTATAGCCAATATTATTTGTAAATTATGTGTTTCTTTTTTATGTTATCTGTGATGGCGTCATTTTGGAGAATAAACCTTTCTTTCTTTCTTTCTTTCTATTGAGACTTACTGAAAAAATTTGTATCCATCGAAGCCATACAACGGAACCCGACCAAAAATAAAAATTTCGCAACGAAATGTCGTGATATTGTATTTATAATATACGCAAAATCAGAACTGCCATTTTAGGGCTTTGGGAACTAGATTTAGCACTTTTTTGGAATGTATAGCGCGCATTTCGAAATTTTAGCACCTAGCGCTTAATCCAGCGCTTTTTGGTGTATTTAGCACACATTTCAATATTTTAGCGACTAGCGGGTTATTAACTCTTTTATAGCAGCACTGTTAGTCCACATTACCGATAATAATAATAATGACCTTTATTATTTTTTCCCACAAATAGTACATTGCAGTTTATCTTTTTCAAACATATTTTTTCCACAAAACAAAGAGCATGGGAGACGAGTCCAAACTAGGATACCCTGTGCTATGGATCTCCTGGCTTCCCCTTTAGGATGATCAACTTGATTTTTTTACCGACGACTATAAGCGGGGAAATCCCCTTTATTAAAGTTTTCGTTCATGGTTTTGGCAACGCATTTATTTTGCTTTATTCAGTTTCAGTCAGTTGCTTAGAGCACAGCTAAGTTAAAAGTTACTTAGAAGTTATAACACAAAGAAACTGTGTAGCAACCGCAATCAGATGCTGACATCTGAAACTAAGTTGCGAAATACATTGCACTTTAAAACAATTAATGACATTTTTATTGTTCCTACAGTACTAACTACTGTTGACAGCAATTGCTATAATTATAAGTCAGATGTCCTGCGAAGTATTGATACATCAAAAAAATATTGCCAGAAAAAAAACTTAATGTTGTTTTCTTTATTATGATTATATAAAAATACACAAACTTTGTTTGTAGTTAATTTAGCGCGAAATCTAGGGCTTTTTTAAAGCGCTGTTTTCATGAAATCTAGCGCTTTTTGTGTTGTCCTAGAGCTGAATGAGTTTTTTTTTATCTGACAGCACTGCCCAAAAACCCTCTATTAAGAAGTAACTTTCCTTTCAGTTTTAAGCGCGTTCAGTTCCCAGTTACAGTGAGTTTATGTTATGCGATGACCGTAAATAAAGCGCAAGGTCAAACTTTACGCGTTGTAGGAGTGTACCTCAGTACTGACTGTTTTGCACATGGCCAACTCTATGTTGCTTTTTCCCACGTTAGTAGCCCCCGTAACCTTTTTGTGTACACCCCGGCTAAGCCTACTTCTAACGTCGTTTACACAGAAGCTCTATCATAAACGACTTAGAACTTTGATGATAATGATTTATTTTGTCACCACTTATTGATACAGTAATGAAATAAATCGTTTAATATTCTCTTACCTAAACGACAAATTCTTTATGTAAAACCTGTATACGCGAGCTACGCCGCGGGCACAGCTAGTTCATAATAAATTACTATGAAAACTCAAGAAAATTTATTTAAAATGCCATACAAAAAAATCGGACATACATTTATGCCATTTTTGTAAAAATAAAAAATACAATTATTACATATAGGCGTGGTTTGGAGAGGAGAATAAAATATGAATTTAAACAAAGAGATATTCAATATAGTTTTTATTTGCCCATATAAAAGAATAGCATCAAATAATAGAATTAAATCTATAAAAATAACAAACCCTACATATGAAACAACATCGGTCATGGTCTTAATTAAAACGATACTGTAAATCTTTAAAAGAAACAAAATAGTTAAATACTCGTACTATGAATTAAATTGACGTAATCACTCATCTATTACTCTAATAATAATTAATGTGATTTATGTATTGCTTAAAATAACATTTAAATTAAAATAAGACTTAAATCAACACCTAAATGTATAAATTAGGTAGGTACTAAAAAAGAGAATTATAAAAAGGCTCGTAGTATTTTGGAATGATATTGGAATTTATTAGATGCAGCAAATCTTCTTTTTTACGTTCTGAAATGCAAAGTTTAGCATTATAGGCTTTTTTTACGAGAATTTCAGCAGTCTGATTTTTCCTATTACGTCTTTTAGGTCCCGTATGAATAATACATTGAATCCATTCTGCTGTATCCTCGTATGATGTCTTGTATGAATATACATCAGACCCCTTAACAAATTTAATTACTCTAATGTCTGATAATCTGACATTATCTCCATTGAGGTTCTTGTAAAAATTTACCGCTAATTGATCGGCCAAATCCTTCCAGTCAATAAAATCTGTAAAGTTTAGTTCATGGACAACATAAGGTTTACCCTTTTTCTTTGCATTCCTTATTAATTGGACGTATTGATCAGGAACGTATATAGGGCCTGATTTTTTTGCACTTTTAATCGCCTTTTCAATAATAGAGTGTGCGTTGTCCCCTTTGTTTTGGGTGTGGCCTCTTATTAAAAACTTATGCGTAATTGAATGAATTGGCAATGTTCTTACTGCATATGCGTACATACTAAATATGTATCTGAAAAAAAAACGTTCAAATATAGATTGTTGTTGCAATCAAGATAATATTTGTATACAATTAAAACTCACCTATTTTTCTGCTGGCCGCAGCAGTTATCTGAGTAAAACACAACATCAATATGCGGAGTGTCCAGAGCAACTTTTTCTAAAAACTTAAAAATGCAAGAGCCTATTTCTACTGCACCTCGATTGCCCAGTCCCTCATGCCAAAAGTAACAAATTGTGTTTTTATTTTTTAAATCGGACACCTGAAATATGAAATAACAATTAATTTAAATTTAAATTAACTTTAAGTAATGAAATCAAAATATATAACAATTTTTCCATTAAACTTACAGTAAAATTTAAGCAGTTTAATTTTGATCTGTAGAAGAAGGCCGATGATTCACCTGTTGGTACCGGCATTACTGCCTGCAAATCATAAATAGCAACTAAGTTATTACTGTTGGGTTCATTACAGATCTCTATATCTTTGGATTTTTCACTACGACTTAGTTGTTTTTCTTTTTGGTGTAAATTATATTCTGGAAGTAACTTATCCTTATCTTCTCCCACAGCATTCTTAAAAGATTCGCAGAGGTCACATTGATCCTTCTTCGGTATAAAAAAGGAAACATTAAATTCAGTATTAAAAATTTTTGCGTAGACATCGTAAGTTGCTGCCTCTTTCTGTATTGAAGAACGTTGTGTCTTGTAATTACGATGCATTTCAGCAATTGTTAGACCACCATCTATAAATTCTCTAGAAGTGTGAGCTCTCAAATAATGGGATTCAATCCGTGGGATTGAATTAATATGGTTTTTAACAGATTGCAAAATTTCTGGATCTGTTTTTTTGTGATGGCCATGTTTACCTCTATTGTCTTTTGGAGCCATGCCTGAATTATATTTTTTTGCCTCAATTACTGTTCGTAGAGTCCTTTCAGAAATTCCTAGAGTATTCAATAGGAATGTTTTACAAATTTTAAAACTACGGCCGTTATTTAAAAATGAAAATGAGCAATTAGGTGTTCTAGGTTTTTCAACGTTCTTAATACGACGGCACAAAATATTCAAAGGTTCGATACACGAGCACAAAAAATCTCTTTGTCGTTGAATAGAAGCCAAGTTCCAGTAACTTTCAAATATCTGTCTTCTTTGATCCTCTGAAAATTGGTTTCTGCACTGTAATCTACAATTGCATGGTGGTCTCATTACTTTAGCATCAATCTTTTTTCCAGTGCGAGAAACGTACTCTTTCCCTGAGTTTTTCTGATATGAGTTCTTTTGATATATTTTTTTTCCATTTCTGTGGATTCCTAATACGCTTTTTACCCTTCTTTGGTGTTGGCGAATGTCTTATTTCTGAATTAAATCCTACAGTAGAAGAAGACGTATTGGAAATCGGTGAAAAACTAATATTTCTAATATGACGTCGTTGAGGTGGCTGATATTCGTCGGTACTATCATCTGGCGAAAAGTCGATATCAGCATAATGCTCATCTTCGGAATTAGGAGGATTGTTTTCTTTGTCTAAAATAAATACAAGAAAATTAATCTCAAATTGCTAAAATTAATAAATAAATAATTTTAACTTGTGAAAATATACATACCCGCAGAGGACGTGGTATTGATAAGGTTATACAAGTCCATAAGTGGCGAAGCAACTGGTTTCTCTCCATGAGATGCATGTAACTTATCAACGCTATCCAGCAGAGAAGGTGAGCTTATATTATCACGTATAACGTCTAAAAATAATTACGCGCAATAAGTATTTATTGATTAAGATGATTAATCAAGTGATAATTAGTACATAACCTTACCATCTTCAATATTGTTTTTGTTCTCAAATTGATTATTGTTGTCTACATTTAATACTATTGGTAATGTCATGCCTATAGCTTTGTAGTCACTGTCTTTAGCTCTTCTCAACGTATCGACAGAGGTGGCTGGTATTTCTGTTATTGCTAAAACATTATTTAATAAAAAATGAATAAAAATAATACAACTCTTACATGAAACGAGCCATAATTAAATACTACTTATCTACTTACCTTCTTTTGACGATGTATCATGTAAACTCGAAGATGTTGAAGTTGATGATGAACTACTACTGTAAGACGACAACGATGAAGAAGAAGACGTCGACGAAGAAGAACGTTTCCGTTTTAGACTTCCGAGTTCACCTTCTTTTTCAGCTGAAATAAGAACCCTTCTGATAAATGCTGTTATGTAAACAAAAATTTGCTTCGCTGTCAAAACTTGTAAAAACATAATTATTACATACTACAAAGTAAAAAATAATTCTAGTTTCGGAAGTCGGAGGCTTTGGTATTGTTCATATTTTTGCCACTGACTTCCAAAACTATTTTATGATAAATGATAAATAGCATTGGTTTACTTTAAAATAAATTGTCCACTAAAAAATTAAGGGTGTCCGGCCTTTTACCAAAATGTCCAGCTAAGCTGGCTGGTATGTCCGGCTTTTCGGTTTTAAGACCTGGCAACATGCATACAGGTCGAACACAGAACTTCCTTTTTTGAAGCCTGTTAAAAAGGATCAACAGATTTCAAATTTGTTTGGGATTAACCCCAATGATTTTATTTGAAAAAGATACGGACCTCCATCCATGAAATAAAATAATTGTAGAAAACGGTTAATTCCCAACAAATACGCACAATTTTGAAGAAAAGTAGACACTTAAAAGGTAAGAAAATACATCTGTATTTTCTTACCTTTTAAATCCGCAGGTTCATCCATTGATGGTAATTCACTAATTACGTTATACGAAAATGGTAAAGGTACTTGTCCTTCCTGACCCAACTTTACAATCTGCTCTATTCTTTTTGACCTTGACATGTTTGCGTCTATGACCTAAAACAATACCTTAAATTATACTCTGAACCATTATTAAACTAATACCTAGTCATTATTATAATAATACGTTTACAACAAGGATAAAATTTAGATAAAAGATAGGTACATACCTATTTCAAATTATGAATTAATGTGGACCTTACTGTTTTTGAAAGAAATAATTTTATTATAAACGTACCTAATATGTATATGAATATAAAAAATACATAATGTTACTTGTTTTCTATCTACTAAAATACGTGCATATTTTTGTAACGTAATATTAACTATGCTAAGTATACAAATATTATGAACTTGTCAGAACAAGAACGTATTTGGCAATTATGTCATATACCTATAACAAGATTTTCAATTGCAGTTTTGTTGACACAACGACATAATTGTCAAATGCGTTATTGTGGCACCAATAATGTAGAAATTGATTGTCATAACTTACATTTACGTCGCTGTAAGTCCCAACACGTTTGCACTTCACGGGCTCCCCGCACGAATGTCAAATCCGCCGATATTTCTCCGTAACCATGCAAAAACCAAGCCGATTCCCAAACGACATTCACGCCCTCTATCGAAAACTACTGTAAGAACAATTCTGTCGTTTTTTCTATAAAAAGAACTTCCGCAACGGGAACTTGTGACATCAAAATGTAAATTTCTGCTTTTTTGTAATTACGTCATTGTTCTATTGGATGAGCGATATGTATATACGATAAGTAAAAGGAGGCATTGTTTGAGGATATATCCAACCATGCCTTCTTCCGATGGGATAGAATACGGATAGGTCTAAAAATGAACATTGAACAAACAACGGTCATGTGTAACGTCCATGTCAAAGAAATGTTTGCTGGAACAACGCTAAGAAACACGATAAATAGTCCTACTAGGTAAGTAACTTCGACCGAGAGGTCAATCGACGGATTTAACTCTAGGTAGCGTTCGGAAGATAACGACACTTCTCGTCAGGTTACCCTTATTACGTGGTAGAACCATGGTGCACTATATTACAGTATAGTTGTAGCACGAATGGGTCGGCTCGACCGGGGAAGGACCACGCTCTCACAGAATACCAGCGTTAAATAGCAGCTTAACACTGCTGTGTTTCGTATGGTGAGTGTAGAGAACCGGAGACCCTTTTACTGGAAATGAGGCATTCCATCTTAGTCCTCATAGGTGACAACGCATCAGTCTGCATTTTGATTCGCAAACTAGGATCAATGTAGTTGTCTATAGGCCACAGCAACCACTTACCATCAGGTGGACTGTGTGCTCGTTTGTCACCCTATCCTATAAAAAAAGAAAGCCTCAATACTTGAAAGCAATATTATACAGTGATGGCATGTGAATCTGAGGCGCCTCTGCTGGCCGTCGTATGAGGCAACTCGAGGTAGCTAAGCGAGCTATGGAGAGGGTTGCACTCGGGGTTTCTCTGCGTGATAGATTTAAAATAAGGATATCCGCGGCAAAACCAGAGTAACTGACGTAGCCCAACGAACGCTGAACGAACGTAAGCTGAAGTGACAATGGGCCAACCATAAATAGTTCGAATAACCGATAACCGATGGAAAAGAAAGGTTTTCGAGTGACAATTTCGTACTGGTCAGTGAAGTTTAGGGCGGCCCCCACTAGTGATGACGTGATAAGATTTACAAGAAGTCGATGGATGCAGATGGCTCAGGACTGCTTTGTGGCATTCCTTGCTTATGTTCAGCAATGGCTTTATCGGAAAAAGGGAGCTCAGTGATGAATCTTCTGATCTTTCTTTAAAAAATGGCTACACAGACTGCAGACTGGTATTAGTGTTTTTTTTTTATAGGAGAGGGGGCGTTTGCCCCCTCTCCTATAAAAAGCATGCGGCCCACCTGATGGTAAGTGACTACCGCCGCCCATGAACAACTGCAACACCAGGGGAATCGCAGATGCGTTGCCGGCCTTTTAAAAAGTAATTCATTAAAAAGTAAATCCAATTCCATCCTTCACTGTGACGCTACTCCAAAAGCTTGGAGTAGAAGTGCGATGGTCTTGTTTTTCAAAAAGTCGACCACGCCCTATTGAACAACTGCAGACCGATTTCTCTTCTGAGCGGCGTCAACCTTCTGTTATCGAGAGTCATTACGAATCGTCTCGCACGCAGGCTTTACGGCTTATAGCCTCCCCGTCATACATACGAGTGCCTATTGTAAACTTGTACAAAAGACCAAATAGTACAAACTGTCACATTGTCTTGCGTGTGTGCACTATGAGAAAGCCTTTCATTCCTTAGATATTTTGGTGGTGCCAAGTTGACTATTAGTATATCGAAGTGCTGAAGTGTTTGTGCGGCAGTACTACTATAACGGCTATCCGAGTACAGGTGTAAGAAATGTTGCTGCTATATCCTCGAAACACACCAGGTAACAATGGCAAATGAGTAATTCCATAGGGGAAGCCTATTTTCAGCAGTGAACTTTTGATACGGTGTCACGGTAACGATATAGCTGGACAATAGTGTATGCTAACGGATAGGTCAGTCGGTATACGTGAACATGGACATGATAAAAGTCATTAATGACGTCCATAACGAAAGAAATTTAAATTATTATAATGAGATAGCTTGCAGTGAGATTCATATGCTGTGGGTGATAGCTTCCGTTTTAGACTGGTTTTGATCCCGTTTCATACGATCACCAAATCTGTGTCGTGATTGAAATGTAGAAGGATAAATGACGTCTGTCATTTATCCTTCTACATTGTTTTCGTTCATTATCTTCTTCAGTGTTTCGACATTTGTCACCATAGGCAGGGAAGCAGCTCTTTTGAGACCTTTGGCAACAGCTCGGAGACCGTTTACTCAAAAAGTCCTGCACCCAGCCAATCAGAGATTAACGGACTTTGCTTCCTTTGAAGGCAATACGCGCGGAATTATAAGAATATCCTCTTCTGGTGTAAAAATAATAAACCCAATTAATTTGATCGGATAGCGCGACCTTAACAGGTCATCATTAAAACATCTAATTCTTCACTTCGAGTTCGAGTTAAGATGTACAATTGTGCAAGTCAACCCACGCATCCGTGTACAAATTCTATCCCCAAAGTATTTCAAGTTTTTACCCGCCGAACGGTTTTAACGTAACTGTCAATGGAGTTGTGTTCTGTAAATAACTTGCTATTAATAGTAGATATTGTCTTGTGGTCTCAAGCTACCCTGACTGATTCGTGAGTATACACATGGCTCTAAAAGTTCAATTCGAAAAGAATGGTGTAAATAAAACTATCGTACATCAATTTCATAAAATCTATAATATTCGTGTGTTTAACGGATCGACCATTTTGCCAGCCATTAGCGCGACGTGGATGTTTGCATCCATTACGAAGTAGAGGAACGGGTAAGTTGCAGAAAAGAAGACACGATGCTGATTAATCACGTATCCTGAAACATAACACAAGTAAAAACATAAACATGATAAAAGACTAAATGCACTGTGAGATAATATTCGGTGGGATAGTCCATGGTAGCGTTTGATGCTTCATTACTACAATATTTTCCAGTCAAGTTTCTAGCATAGTATTGGCTTAGCCTTTAAATATTCAGTTAGATAAGTGTAAGCTATACTTGTACAATTCTTCCTTGCCAATAATTATTACTAAAAGTTCTTGTAATCTTGTACTATTATTTATTCTGTGCGTAAACAAAGAAGTCCCACGAGGAAGTAAGCCTAGACGCTTGTATGAATCTACCGTACTCTCGTTCATTATATCTGTCATTATCGACAAAAAATATTCTTATCTACGATTTGCAATGCCCTTTTTTGTCAGAAACATTCATAGGTGCGCGCACAACATGTCCGCAAAGTTGTATCGTACAGAGAGTATCATGCAATTGAATTCTTGATACCTAGAAAAGCGTAAAGAATATTGAATGATATTAAATTTATTTTTGTAACATTTTTTACAGAGGATGTAATAATTCCAACATGTCGATGCATGAAAGGCAATTGAGGTTATATGTCTAAATCGATTATGTCTGCAGGAAACAATCAGATTTATTCAGTTTTGCCCATTTAGGTAATTGAAGAGACACTATCTGCAAATAATTTTCATCTCGCGATTAGGCATTCAGGTCGCCATAATGTCAATGCAGCGGGCGATTTCCCTAATTGTCGCCCATGTACGGTAAAGAGCGGCGCGCATCAATGGATTCAAATGCGCGTGTCGCCGCATTGCGCCACCGCACCGTCAGAAACAATGGGAGCCGCGTTTCGCTTCTCGCCACTTGGCAACACAGATTTTGCACTCTTTTAACCACAATTATCTTGTCTTTGCACTGGAAAAATAGCCACTTTGTCTTTGCTTGGTGTAACTTGCAGCTAATTGTCACCAATTTTCCATTGCTACGCAATGCGGCTGTCGCATTTTTTCTATTTTGTGGTCGCAATGTCCCGTCGCCATATGTGATATTTTTATGAGGACCACTAGCAAAACACCCATTATTTTTGTATGTTTTCTTTTGTTACTGATGATTTTTAAATAATGGTGCTGTATCAATTTAGGTAATTTTCAGAACACATCAATGACGCTCAAGGATGATCCGGCAGAGATCGGCGGCGCGTGACTCCATCAACGTTTGGCGGACCCGGTCTTGTAATTGACCCCAACTTCCGTTCACTCGCTTTAACTCTTCTGCTTATTAAGTGGATCACATTGGAAAAAGATTTCATTGATTATCGTTCTAGACGGCATTTACGAAATGTAAATTTTTTTGCATAAATTATTTTATATAATTGCCTAAGAGTGAAAGCCTCTGCGCACATCAGCCCGCCTGCAGCAGCAAACTGTTGTTGTGTTTGTATGATGATTGACGAGAACCGGATATTTATTTTACTGGTAATGGAGCATTTCATCATAGTCTTCAGATGAGACACGATAACGCATCTGAATTTTGATTCTTAATCGAGGGTAGATATATCTACGCACTTTTTGCCTCCATCCACGTGGAATGTGCCCGTATTTTTTTACTCTTGTAGGAATATGCCCGCTGGTATTTTTTTACCAACTGGCGCATTCCTGAAAAGTATATTTTTAAATTGGTTGGCGATGAAGATATGCATTTGTAATTGAAAACAGGTTTTCCTATATCTTCACGAATACGATAATAGTAATAAACTTTAGAAATATCATGCGAAATAGATAATTATCATTATCAAAAACCGTAAAGAATATGATCTTATCCCTATGTAGCCTGTTTCGATTAGTCGAAACTCTTACTCGAAAACATTCGACAGCATAACTCACAACTTGATCGTTTTTGTATTAATTGGAATAAACAGAACATATACAAACATCACAAAGAACACCTAACTGGTCATAGCGATTAGCGATGCTAGAAGCAATCGAATGGTAAAGTATGGGACCGAAGTTACAAGACCAACATTTAAGTCGCCTCAGATTTGCTTATGACATCGTCCTTTTTGCGGAAACAACAAACTGAGCTAGATGTAATAATACAAACTCTGGATAACGCAATCAAAAATAGGATTGCACAATTTTACATAAATAAAACGAACATACTGACTAATTACGTAAGGGAATAAATGATTGTATACTAACTGTATTGATGATGTGTGATATGCAAGACTTAAAGATACTATAAGCTCATTCTGGATAGATCGGACCAAAAATTAATATTTAAAAAGTGACGTTAGTCAGGCTAACTATGACATTGGGGCGTCATACACTTTAGCGGGTGACGTGCTAGTTCCATCTAATTACAGACCTATTTCTCTGTTATCAACATTATCAAAAATTTTAGAGAAGACAGTAAAAAGATTAATAGGATTTTTGGAACGTAATAAGTTACTGTCAGATAACCAATTGGGTTTTAGGTCTGGACGTTCTACGGCGGATGCCACACTTAGGTTGGCATCGAAAGTACTTTCTTACTTGGATAAAGGTAGCAAATGTCTAGGTATTTTCCTCGATTTAAAAAAAGCGTTTGACACCGTATCGATACCCGTGCTTCTATCAAGACTAGAGAATCTTGGCGTAAGGGGTCTTCCATTGGCGTGGTTTAGAGATTACCTATCTGATAGGAGCCAAATGGTCCGGGTCGGTAACTACATCAGTAGCAGTGCGGAATGTACCTACGGTATTCCACAGGGTAGTACACTTGGTCCAAGCCTGTTCCTGGCTTACATCAACCCTTTGTGTGAATTAAATGTTTGTGGTGGTGAGGTGCAAATGTATGCTGATGATACAATATTACTTTATCAAGGTTCCAACTGGAAAATAGTGAAGGAACGAGCGGAATGTGGATTATCAGCAGTGACGACTTGGCTTGAGAACAATCTGCTTACGATAAATGTGTCTAAAACAAAATACATCTGTTTTTCAAAACAAAGAATTTCTGCTCCACAAAACGATTATAGCATAAAAATTCACACTTACCCGTGTAATAGAAACGCTAAGGAGATTCGCGACTGTAAATGTGCTGTATTAGAAAGAACGAACACTTTAAAATATTTAGGCGTTCATGTTGATGACACACTAAGCTGGAAGTTTCATATTCAAAATGTAGCCAAGAGAGTTAGGAAACTTATTTTTCTTTTTAAAAAATTACGCGTGATTGCTAACAAAGACCTAATGTTTGTACTTGGGGAGGGACACATAAAAGACATATGATTGAATTGGAACGCGCACAGAGAAGTTTGTTAAAAGTTATCATGTGTTTGCCCTACAAGTATCCTACCACATCAGTATATAAAAAGTTTAAAGTATTAAGTATACGTAAGACCTATGTTTTTCACAGCATAATGAGATATCATTGTGTTACTGCGCCAACTTTTCCAACAACAGAAAAGAGGGTTGATAACTATCCCATTCCCAACTTTAGAACGCCGTATGCTAGGAAATTTTATGATTTTCAGGCCCCACACTTATATAATAAGTTAAACAAAATAATAAAACTAAGGAAACTTAACAACAAACAAATAAAAGATTTACTTTTGTCGTGGCTGAATGAACACGATTATGACAGCTGCGAAAATCTATTGAACGTAAATACTTAAGAATTGATTAAACATATATATATATATATATATATATATATATATATATATATATTAGCTCTTACAGACACTTTCACGCGTTAACGACACTACTTCACAAATTATAACATACACAAAACACACATGCATCCACACATTTGTCATATTACTTAGTCAATACCACATATTATTATCCTTTTTTTGTTTTTGGTTTTTTTTTTAATGTTTATCTTTAATTGAATTTAATAATTTATGTAAACTGTTCTTGTCAATTTTAAATAAAATAAAGTAGAATATAATTAAATATAATTAGGTATAATTAAATTAAATTGAAATGTATAATTAATGTTAATAATGTTTGTGCATAATGTAATGGAAGGGACTAGCTCCTGACATACAGGATTCCTAGTTCAGGAGTTAGGGCTCAATCGGAACAAGTGTAACATTTATTTGAGTTCTAATAAAATTTATTATTAATTTATTATGACATTGGGGCGTCATACACTTTAGTCTTCCCCCGTGACCATGTATGTAAAGCACCCGAAACGTCGGGAATTAAAAAGTTCAATTAAACGCGATAAAATCCGTAAAAGTAGTTTTATTCAATGTGTAGTGTTCGCGTAAATATAAGAAATCATTAATAAAAGAGGTTAGGCTGTGACCAAAAAGCAAAGGAAATAAAGATTGACCGCGAAAATGATGGGCGGATGACAACATTGGGATGGGTGGAAGAAACTCGAAGACTACAAAGGACAGAGAAAAATAACATCGGTTGGAGGAGGCTTTTACCTACTACCCAAAATGTAATCTTACAAACAAAAACTAATCAAAATAGAAGTACGAAAAATGTACTAATAATGAAACTACAATCCATAAATAGCAAGTGAGATAAAGATGGATGAGATTGGGCCTTATTATAGTAAGATATCTCCATAATCCTCAAATTGTGTGTTATAGAACTATAGATATAGATAATATTTCCTAATAAGTATATTGAATTTTTACATGTAGGAAATATTAGTATATGCAATATACAAACGATTTTTCTTGGAATCGTCGGGCTGGTACTTCCGAATAGCTACCGAGACAGCCTGCTCGATGCTGCGCACGTAAACTCCAGGCTGGTATGTCATCGGCGTGAAGTCCTGTTGACGTGGCTCGAACACATCTCGAATGCCGAGCTTGGGATAAAAAATAAAATTTTCATAAATCCGACAAAAAATAAATATAATAAATAATTAGCTAACTACTTATGCTCGGTTTCTCTTTGTTATTACTTAATACTAACTGAAAATATTATGAATTAAAAAAGGCCTAGGCCTAACATGGTAGTAACATAGTAGGAACGTGTAAATATTTTACGTAGAATATATAGCTACTAACAAAATGTTACTTTACTATTGTTATGGTAATTACGGTATCGTGCAATGGGGTTACTGGGTATGAAAATTTACTAGATTAGATAAAGTGGGCTATAATATTATAATATTATTTGCAAAAAGGATCCTAAACATCACTAATAAATTAATTAATTGCTGTCATACCCACATTTTTGCTACGTTTCGTAGCGTCTCAAATCTTGATGAGTTCATGTTTTTTTTTTGTTTGTTGTCAGCCGTGATGACTAAGATGGAAAGCCTTTTTTCCAGTAAAAAGGGTATCCAGTGCTCTACACTCACCATACGAAACACAACAGTATTAAGCTGCTATTTTACGCTGGTATTCTGTGAGAGCGTGGTCCTTCTCCGGTCTAGGCGACCCGTTCGTGCTACTATACAATTAATATAGCTGCAGCATGGTTCTACCGTGTTAGATATATATACCACGTATATATGTGGTAGAGCCACCCTTTTTACTGGAAACAAGGCTTGTCCTCAGGGATGACAAAATATCTGATTTCTTTATTGATTCTTAATCGAGGATAAATGTAGATATCTATGGGCCACAGCATCCACTTACCGTCAGGTGGCCTGTGTACTCGTTTGTCACCCTACATTCTAAAAATATAGAGTACAACCAACAATAATTGATTAAATTGTTATTTGGGTATTTACTTTAGTACGAGTACATTACTAAATTTCATTTTTAATTGACATGATTAAATTAACACTACATAAATATAATACTTAATTTAAATTGAAGACGTTTTTTTTCTTCATAAGTTTTATGGCTACTGTTTGAAATGTACCTAAGCTTCGAATTATTTGCGATTTTATTGATTTTTTTTTTCAAAAATATATTACCATAATGTTTCCCAAAATAATTAAACTTAATTAAGAAAAGTAGAAATCGACTTTTAAAAACTAAGAAGAATAAAATAGTTCCCATATAATATATTGACCGTGTAGTGGCGATGTAAGAATATATCTATAACTAGCTGTTCCCCGCGACTTCGCCCGCGCGTAGTTTATTACGATTGGATTTTGTGGGTTTTAATTTTTTGCGCGGACCCTAATTCTTTTTCTTAAAGTAAAAGTAGCCTAAGTTTCTTCTTATAACATCAGCTATCTGCCTGTGAAAGTCCGGTCAAAATCAGTCCAGCCGTCTCGGAGATTAGCCGGAACAAACAGACAGAAAGACAGACAGACAAAAATTTTAAAATCGTGTTTTTGTTATAAGTACCGTCTATACTTTCATATGCATATAGTAAAACGCTCTTATTTCGATACTAGCTTTTTACCCGCGGCTTCGCTCGCGTGAGCTTGAATTTAGGAACGCCATTAAATGCTATTCCGTGGCAAATTTAGAAAAATTCGATCGCTTTTAGAGTCACCTCAGTGTCTGTCTCTATGTCTGTCAAAGATTTTTTTTAATTCTAAAAGACTATTAGACGTACATTATGCATAGATTATTTATATTTGGCATAGGTATAATATGCTACAGGAACACGTGAATGCACCTATATGTATAGAAAACACCTACTATTTTTTATATCGGGCATGTATTCCGACGTATCCATAAGAAAGGTAAATTGTCTCGGAATGAAAATGTATTATTATCTATTATTTACATTTTACTCTTTACATTAATTTATTAACTTAAAGGTAATTTAGTTTTAACAAAATAATGATGAGTTTCATGGTCTTCTATCAATTTACGGGATAATGTTTATTTGAGATATTTTATATTGATCGGGACCATAAAATAGATGTAAATATTTTTTTACGTTCGAGTAGACTATAAAATTTCATAAATGCAGTTCTATAGTGATGAATACAGTATACATCATTATAGAACTGCATTTATGAAATTATAAAATTTAGTATACATATATACTATACATGGAATAAAACTAATGTTACGGATTTTATCACGTTTAATTTTAACTTCTTTATGTGGGGTTTTTTACGCATCTTTGGATGAAAGTTCCATAAAAACGCGCTTAAAAGAACACATCGTTGATGTGAAACACCGACGCTCCGGGAAGTCTAAAGTATGTCAACATGTTTAGTATCGTCCCAACCATTATATCGGATCTGATATACAACAAATCCTTGCAATAGAACATCAATTCCTACCAATGATGATTCGCGAGCCTTTTGAAATTAAAAAACATCCTAATTTTAAAATGAAAGATGGCTGAGTGCTATCATCTGCTAAGGACCATATCTATACAAATAAATAAAATTGAAGTGTCTGTTTGTAATGTAAAAATAACAGGTTTTTACTAAATGTATATGAAAGTATATACGGTAGGTACTTATAACAAAAACACAATTTATAAAATTTTTGTCTGTCTGTTTGTTCTGGCTAATCTCCGACACGGCTGGACCTGGCAGATAGCTGATGTTATAGGAAGTAACTTAGGCTACTTATATTTTAGAAAAAGGATAAAGTGCCCAAAAAAGTATAAATTAAACGCGATAAAATCCTTAAAATTAGTTACATTGCTTATAAATTTTATTCACGGTGAACGTGGGAATCGCTACACTCATGAATGGGAGTAGAAAAATGTTCTTCTTGTTGTGGCGGTGAGAGAGAATCCGCCACCTCAATCCCTGTCGTAAGAGGCGACATAGGAAAACTGTTTTCCTATGTCGCCTCTTCCTTCGTCGCGTCTTCTTTTTCCGAAAACAAACAGGAGATGGGCAGCATCATTTTCCTGACAACAGATGTACCTAAATAATAATATCTGCGGTTACCAACCCGCCTACCAAACGTGGCAATTATAGCAAATATCCAGCTACTTGACAATTTATGGTGGAGGCCTATGTTCATTTCAGTGGACTTTTGATAGGCTGACGATAATGAGTTATTATTATATGAGCTATGAAACCAGGACTATCAAATATCTAATCTTAATGTGTTTGAAAATATGAAAGCTATTTTAATTTACAAACTGATTTATAAGTCTCGTTAAAGGTAAAAAAGTAAAGTAGCAGCTAATATTCGTCTCACTAATGTCCACAGGGCTCATCATTACCTATAGTGTTTTGTGGGCAGAAAAATAGAATATACTGCAATGCTTTAATGCATATTAACTGTTTACATCTCCACGACTACTTTAATTACTCAGACATCTAGGTTTCCCCACGAAGTTATACGTTACCACTTTAACGGACACGTGAGTTTTCTATAACAGTTTTGCTCCCGTGCTACGATGAAATCTCACGGCGAGAGCTATACGGCCCACGTATTTGTTTAAATACAATTTTTAAAAACTGAAACTAAGCTTATGTATGATTGTTGACCACATCTACCTAGTAATTACCCTTCCAACGATGCCACGAACAAATTTGCAATTATTTACATCGTAATTCAGTAACATTCTATTATTTAATAATCTTCTAATAATCTAATAATCTTCCACTCACCAGATGTCGCTAGTTGTGACTGAGGTAAAGTTTTTCGTTACATAGTGTCAGTTAATTGAAAAATTAGTTTTATATAATAGTTTATCATTATCTAGAGTATTATATTAATATACAACACTGAGTCAGTGGTTTGATTTTTAATTTTTTGCACTTTATAACTCTTTTTTTAATTTTTCTATTTTAAGTTATATTTATAGTTTGGTTTATTCATTTCTAATGTAATTAATATAATTTTTTTTGGCAAGCTATATCATGAGATGGTCAACAAACAGTGCTAAATATCATGAAATGACCACACCATTCCACGAAATGATAGACTACTTTATGATAGGTATGTGATCAATTCTACGATCTGGTCACGACATATATTATAAAAATATGTTTAATAAAGCTATAAAGATAATGAAAATTTTGCAATAATTGCAAACAGACCAGTTTTATTCAATTTATATATAGATTAGTATAATTGAAATAAAAACCTTATCAATTTTCATATTTTTGATAGATGTCACTATTATCTATTGACATTATTACACTTTGAAAATAAAATAACAAAAATACTAAAAAACTAAACGTTACAATTTTTAAATAATTTTAAAAATCTTATTATTTAAACATATACATATTTTTATTTATATTATTTAATTTATTAGTAACTGAAGGCAAAATATACTAATTTTTTCATTTGATGATAGATGGCGCTATTTTGATAACTACATCATTGTATTTTACCAAGTTTATAACTATATTTTAAACTTTATTTATAAATATTGTATATGGTATTATTAATATTTGATGTATAAATATTTGAAAAACACCCGTTATCCCGCCTATAACTAATATATAATAGAAAATTAACATTTAAAGGAAGGAAAATACTTAACCTTCTTTTTTGAAATTCCGTAATCGGATAAAAAGTAGCCTATAAGTTGCCCCGGGTTACTAACTACCTACATACAAAATTTTATGTAAATCGGTCCAGTGGTTTTTGCGTGAATCCGGAATACACAGACAGACAGACAGACAGACAGACAGACAGACAGACAAAAATTCTAAAAACCACTGATATGGCTTGAGAACCCTTTATTTAGTCCCCTGGACTTGTTTTTTCAAGAATATATTAGAATTACAGACACGACTTTTCTATAGATTTATTATATGTATAGATTACAAACAGACACTTCAATTTTATTTATTTGTATAGATAATATACCCCATATCATCCCGTGGGTATCGTAAGAGGTGACAGAGGAAATAAATCAGGAGATGACGCAACAACGTCTTCCTAAAAACGACTAAATAATACTGCGGTTGCCAACCCACTTGCCAAGCGTGGCAACTATGGCAAATTCCCCCTATGAGGTAATCTATGGAGGAAGCCTACGTTCAGTAGTAGACTTTAATAGGCTTTAATGGTAATCTAATAGCGTCTTAATTCGAAAGACACTGCTTAAATTCTTCCATACAGTATGTCTTCCAACGACATAATTCTTTTTTGTTTTTTAGGTCGGTTTTTAGTTTTTATTTTATTGAAAGTTTAATTATTTGATCCACAAGAGCGAGTAAGAAAAGTCACAAGTGACAACCTTAAGGTAAAAACCCTTCTGGGTGAATACGATCAAATAAAACACAGCCTGATTAAGAACGTCCTCCTTTTTTTTAACTTGGCTAATAAAATCATCAGATGTAAATTTGTTTTGTTACTCACCTTTTGCAAATCTGTTGTAAGTGTCACGTGTCCCTTCACTATGAAGCTAGGAACTAATGCGTGTACGTGGCGCGGCCGTAACGCGGCATATATGTCAGATAGGTCTGACTCCCGCGCCATACGTGCCAAGAGTCGTCCCAATTCCCCCGCCCGCCTGTGATTCGGTAAAACCACCAGCAGATAATATTTGTCGCTATCAAGCGGCAAACGGAGTGCGGCAGCTTCCAAATGCGGCAAATATGCGTGCTCCAGCACCGTATCGTAATTCATGTATGTCACCTGTTTGTAAAATAATGATTTCCTTAAAGAATCTAAGATACATTTTAAAGCAGTTTTTTATATATTAACCTGTATATTTTTCAGTCCGTTAGCTAAAAACATTTCGTCTCCTCCGTAGCGAGTGTTGCCTAACTCAGGACCTAAATCGAAAGATCTATATAGCAAATAATCGTCGAAGTATGGAGGGTTTGTAAATATAAAATCTACTATTGACTTCTTTTTTCGTTCAAGAGTCTCCAAACTCGATTCGTTAACAACTGTCAATGAAATATCTGATACGCTTTCTATATTGTTTGTTGTACTTTCAGATGTTGACATGATTTCGGTAGAAGACATAAAGTTTTCTGAAGCCGCTGTGGTGATTTCAGTAGTGGACGCGGTGTCTGTGGCAATACTTTCTGTTGTTCCCGTAATGCTTTCCGAAGTTGGCATGGCTGTTATTCGCTCCGGATCCACTGTACTTTCAGTTGTTAAGATGCTTGTGGTTTGTGTGTTTGTAAGTGAAGAGATATCGACTGGGCTTTGATCAGTTATGTTCGTAACTATTGTCATTTTATCTGTTATGAATTCAACTTCGTTGTTAAATGTTGTTCCATCGGTGGTTGAAGTGATATCCATTGTTTTTTGTGTTGATGATGTAACAAAATCAGTTGAAGGATTTATAGTTCCATCGGTTGTTTGCAAATTAATCGTTGATGGTGTCGTAATTGTAGTATCAGATGTGGGTTCCGTAGGATTATTTAACGATGTTGTTGTATCATTTGCGTTATCGGCTAATATTCCTGATTCCTGTTTAACAACGTCTGCTGGGGTTGTACTAGCTTTGTCTTTATGAGAAGCGGTCATGTTGTCTATGCTTAAGGTTGTTGTAATGGTTGTAGATGTTTTGTGTTCGGGTGTGGTACTTGCGGGGGTCGCTGTGACACTTGAGGTATTGTTTGAATCTGGTGTCATAGTAGTTTTTTGTTCACTTTCCAAATCGAATCCGTAGAAGCGTAACACCTTTTTGTAATTTTCATTAAAAGTTACATTCTCGTTTTTTAGCGCTAAGCCAGCCAAAAACCCTTCTTCAGGGACGAAGTATGTCTGAAATATAACAAAAATCTTTAAATCAGGAAATTAAGTATACGAATGATATTTACCGTGTAGTAGCGGTGAAAAAATATCCCATATGGTCCCGTAGGTGTCGTAAGAGGCGACAGAGAAAAATTTAACTAGGAAATGGGCAGCAGCGTCTTCCTAAAAACAACAAAAATCTGCGGTTGGCAACTCGCCTACCAAGCGTGACAACTATAGCAAGTGATCACCCTATGACGCAATCTATGGTGGAGACCTTTGTTCAGCTGTGAACTTTGACAGGCTTTAATAGTAACGGAATGCTATTTTAATAAATATCTACTTAGTTACTTTTTTTTTAGTAACGATTGTAAGTAAGAAACAATCAAATATAAAATCACGTTATAATCTCATTTAACAAGCACATGTGTTGGAGAGGGCTATGCTCGGGGTTTCTCTGCGTGATAAACTTAAAAATGAGGATATCAGCAATAACCGGAGTAACCGATATAGCTCAACAGATTAGTAAGCTGAAGTGGCAATGGACGGGCCCTATAGCTCGAACAACCGACAACCGATGCGGAAGGTTCGTCGATAGATGCAGGTTGCTCAGGACCGTGCTTTATGGCATTCCTTGGGGGTAGCCTGTGATCAGTAGTGGATTTGTGAAGGGATGTAATTATGAACGATGATGATGATGAACAATCACATGTGTAAAAGTCGTATATGTTTTTATTTATCTTTGATTTTACTTGCAAAATATCACTCCACTGTCGGTACATTCGTTTTGTTTGCAATCAAAAATAAATAATGTACATATAAACATACAGTACATATAAATAATATTGCTAATAAATTAAACCAAGAAACTTTTAAGTTGGTATAAACAAAATATTATGGATTCACTCACTTTGAGCGAACGATGTATATCTCTAAAGCCTATTCTCATCACATTTCTGTTCCACGGTAATTGCATAGCGCGCTGTATCTGATACGAAGAGTCTCCGTCTACTCCCTCGTACAAGGCCACCATTATTCCTATCAATCCATACGGAGAGAAGGCTATGTTGTTATCATTCAAGAAGTTATGTTCTGCGAGCACTTTTAAACCGAATTCGTTTGTAACGTCCACCATATGTGATAGCGGCGATCGTCCTGTGTCCCAATATTTTATTTCGATCGGGACTCCATACTCGGAACTTGCAACGACCGCGATCGTAGCGCAAACGTACAATAATCGCGTAAATAATGAAAAGGCGCACGCGCGTCCACAGTGCCGCATCGTGGTCGCGTTTCTGACCATATTCTGACCGCGCTCCAATGACCGCGGGCTACTCTCGTCGCGGTTAACGCTTCTTCGTGTCCAACTAATTACCATCAAGAACTCGATGTTTTCGGTGAATGCCCTGCCTTATTTTTTGCGAAAACTGCGCACAGTACGTTATTCGTAGCAGGAGTGAAATATCGCTGTTTCCTATGTTGCTTATTAAAGAGATTATTGTACCGGTTTTTTTTTATTGACAACTGCATTAGCACATTTTTTTTTCTATACAACTGGCTTACAACTTCAACTGGCTTAAAATAATTATTGTCGCCGTTACTATTGCTCTTGAATATGGTATATTGTTGCAAGTTTTTAGTAATTAGACAGAAACCTGTACGGCTAGACCGAAATAAGCACGTCTTCTTTTTATAAAGACACTATTGATGATGATAATTATTCCACTCTTATTTAAGTTTAAGCACCGAATAAATAATAGTACAAGACGTTTAAGCCTAGTTGGACAACTCACTACAACCAAGTATGTACTCCGCTTGTTGTGTTAAGCGGTTCTTTTAAACCACACAGTGCATTTTATTTCTTTCATTCTTTTTCGTTTACACAATACAAGATGTAGTCTGGTTTTGGCCTTGGTCTACTATAATGTCTTTCACAATAGTGATTAATTTCTAGTTTAATATTATAAAATGTGATGATGATGTTATCGTGGTCTAACTTTGACTTTAACCGGGCGGCGTCAACCCTTCACACACCAGTAGATATGTAAAGTCTTGTTTTGTTCTTAGTGTATTAAGTCATATTTTTCAATAAAATTTTAGTTTAATGTTATAAAATGCGATGATGATGTTATTGTGGTCTGACTTAGACTGAGAGGAAGCAACCCTTGCTACGCTACTGTTTATTAATTTTTCCTTTACCCAGCATTAGATGTAGTCTTATTTTGTCTCTGGTCATATTTCGTAATATAAACAGGGAGGGAGCGGCAAGGGGGCTATGTCCTGGCAAGCAGATTTAAAGGATCTGCATTTTCTTAAAGATTTACTCTCCGCTTTAACTTTTTTAACTCCGGTTTTTTTCCGGTTATCTGGTAAAAACCTCAATAAAAATGACAATAGCTTCTATTGAATAGTTTGACTAAAATAATAATAACAACATTTACTTTATGTCATCCGGTTAATATGGTCACTTTCTTATAACTCAAAAACTACAGCCTAATTTGCATAGATGGGTTTGTGATACGATAGCTCTTCATCAGTCATTCAAATAATAAAGGGTCAAAAGGCCGCCGCTTTATCGACGCCATTTTGACAGTTGATATTATAGTCAGTACGTGAGGGTAATATGGTCACCTTAAGCTTTATCGCCCTATAAAACCAAAGTTAGGAGAAGAACAGAGACAAAAACACAAAGTCGTATATTATAACTAATATATTAAGAAAAAAAAATAGCAAACAAGCTTTGGAAATAATTAGGAACACTTCGAAAAATCTACTTAAAAAAACTAACTACACTACACAATACAAAAATCGCATAAAATATTTACAATCATAGAAGTATTACTCCAAGTTTACAATAATATATAAACTGTCAAAATGGCGTCGATAAAGGAGCGCCTTTTTGATCATTTATTATTTGATAGACTGATCTATTTGATAGATGAGCTATCTACTAACTATATGATAGATCGTATCACAGAGCGTTCTATTCAAACGACGCTGTAGTTTTTGAGTTATAAGAAAGTGACCATATTAAACGGATGACCATATTACCCTCACGTACTATAGTTAATTGATTTTTCGAAGTGTTGCTAGTTATTGCCAAGGCTTGTTTGTTATATTTTTCTATATTAGTTATAGTAAACGACATTGTGTATTTGTCTCTGTTCTTCTCCTAACTTTGGTACTTTACAATACGTTTAAACATTTCTCCTATAAAATATTATTTTGTTATTATTTAAAATATTAATTCATTTAGGGTCTAATACGAAAAGATAAACCTCCTGTATCGTTAATTCATGAAACAGGATTGCTTATCGTTTCCAGTCTTCATTATAACATTCCGCACAAGCGTCCAACCCGTATCTTAATAAAATGTTATTAAGAAAATTGCTATAAACGTCTACTCACTTGAAGCGTAAAAATAGTTTACTTTTTTTAACACTTTTTACTAAATCAAACGAGTGTCATTAAAATGCTTTGGGTGCTGATCTTTATCATAATTATGTAGGTACGTATCTTTTAAATAAGTTCTAGTAAGTTATAAGCAGTACACGATTACTACGTACGTAACTAAGCATTTTGCGGGGGCGAACCAACGACGTATAAAAACATTTTAGGGGCGAACACTGTATATTTGAATAAAACTAGTTTTTACGGATTTTACCGCGTACAATAACTTATTTTTTTAATAAGTTTAAGTTTAAGTTTTAAAATAAGTGAATCTACGCGATAAAATCGGTAAAAACTAGTTTTATCAAATGATAGTAATACACATGTATATAATTATTGTTGTTCCGGGTCCAATCATAAATAGGAGGAACTTTTTTCTCTTTTTCTGCTCAAAGTTTATCTGGATCTTAATTAGAAACATTTTCATAGTTGGAACTAGTGTTCGGCTTTATTGTTTTCTTCCTGTATCGCCAAATTGTTTGTTATACGCTACCTCTATTTTATTTGAGTCCGATAAAAGTGATAACTAATAATATAGACTATGTACATTAATATTTTTTTAGAATGGCAAAGAGAAAATAATTTGCGTACTTCAAATTGCGCAAATTAATCCTGGCTTGTCACACACGGTAACTATTTAAATACATACTTCTTAAGTAGATGGCGCATTATTTTTTTCGAAAATCACTGTAAATAATAAGCTGAGTAGGTTGAAAGTAGGGGCTAAGCGCTCGCTGTAAATTTTACAGTATGCGAGCAACCCTGTTTCGATCCCCACCGGCACCAATGAAATTGTTAATTGCAATTTTAAGTGCTTATTTACCACGTGCTCGGCGGTGAAGGAAAACGTCGTGAGGAAACCGTCTGAGAAATAAGATATTTCGAAGATGTATATGTGAAGTTTGCCAACACGCATTGGGGCAGCGCGGCGGACATTTCCTTGCCCTTAAAAACCCCTCAGAAATGAAGGGACGCTTGCGCCCAGCAGTGGGACGTATATAACTTTAACTACCGGAAGTAGATCGCTATCGCACGTCATACAGTAATTAATTCAAATTTAATGGACTGAAAACACAACAAAATTATCGGCTAGAATTGAAAAATAGTTTGCTCAAGATTCGTCTTGCTGAAGTGGCGATGGTGATAAATAGTTCTAAATTCATTGGTGACGATGACACGTTATTAAAAGTTCTTGCTCACTCGGTATAGATAGTTCTATTCTGCCGTACGTTGACTAAAATGCAGTTAAGCCACAAATGGTAGAATCTTATGTTTTGATGTCAAATATAAAGTTGATCTAAATATTATTCTATATATAAATAATAATTGTCTTGGACTCGTTTTTCTGTCTATTGTAGTCGCATAGTTAACCGAGTTACACAAAGGCTTGCTAAATAGCAGCATGGACGTAAACCATCCTTAGCTGCTCGTAAAAAATATCTACAAAATATTTTTATATTACTTTACTAAAAACACGCTCTCTTAGAACATAGAGAAGAATACAGTAAAGGAGCCTTAACATCTTTGTTGTGAATTTTATCATATTACTCTGAACGTATTATAATAATTTATCTCAAAAGCAAGGTATTTACCGTCGTCTATCATAAACCTATCAAAAGTTCACAGCTGAACATAGACCCCCTCCATAGATTGTCTCATAAGGGGATAATTGCCATAGTTGCCGCGCTTGGCAGGCGGGTTGGCAACCGCAGTTATTTCATTTTTAGTTCTTATTTGGTAGACGCTGCTGCTCATCTGCTGATTTGTTTCCCTCTGTCGCCTTTCACGAAATCAATGGAATGATGGGGTAATGAATATTCTTACACCGCCACTGCACGGTCATAAATGGTATTTGCTGTTAAATATTACCCCGTGTAGTGGCGGGTAAGAATACCCACTACCCCATATCTTCCCGTGGGTGACGTAAGAGGCGACAGAGGGAAACTGAGGCAGAGGATGGGCAGCAGCATCTTTCTGATAACAGCAAAACAACAATAAAAAAACTGCGGTTGCCAACCCGCTCGCCAAGCGAATTCAAATTCAAATTTTATTTATTTGTGAATACAGGTAATGAGACAATAGATCTTAAAAAAAAGATGTTCGCTGCATTCAACCCGTAGGTGTACAAATATTATAGCCACAATTATATCTAATATATTTCCATTATTTCATTATATTATTTATATCATATTTATATTAGAATATTCAACAATGATGTAATTATTAATTAGAATAGGATGTTTACATATATACAGTCTAATCGAATGTCAAAAAATTATATTTTATGCAATGCCATTATAATATGCCTACTGATGCGTCGCTTAAATATTCATCAATTGAGTACTCGTAGTAGCATTTCTCAATTAGAAATGTTTTAAATTATTTGTTACATTTTTGAACATTTTCCATTTCATGAAAAATAGATGGAACCAGTGAGCGAGCAGGTTGGCAACCGCAGTTTGAGCAGGCAACTATGGCAATATACCCCCCATGAAAGTAACGAAGAGACGGCCCCCAGTCCCCGGCGGCCCCGCTATTCCCGGCTACGGTGGCGACAATGGTAACGGCGGAGCAGGGGGTGCTAATAATCTCCGGTGGAGGTTCAGTTGCTACTTACGACGACTCGACCTGGCAACTTATAACGCACGCACCCTGAGGACTGACGAGAAGATCCTGGAGCTGGAAGAAGAGATAGACAAGTTGCGCTTGAATATCATAGGATTATCCGAGGTCCGAAGAGAGTTGGAGGACACGTTAATCCTCGAATCCGGCAACTTCTTCTATCACCGGGAAGGCGACCATCTGTCCAAAGGAGGTGTCGGATTTATCATC